AGTTCTAATGTTGGGGTGGTATTGTATACCAGCAATAACCAAATGATACTTTGTTAAACAGGCTCTTAAAAACTCAACAGAATAATGTTAAACTTGTTTAAAAAATATGTCCACTCTTTGTGTCTCATCACCTAACTCGAACACTCAGTAGATTCTCAAAGCACACGATTACTCATAAATATCACTTGGTTTTAGATGATCTTATGAGTAAGCACCTATTTGATTTAGTAATGCAGTCTTTCAGGTCTTTTTCTCCGTCTCCAGCCTCTACCTGGAGCATGTTGATGATGTTCTGAAGACGGTGGAGGAAATAGCTGGAAAAGGAATCCCTGAGCTACTTAATGCATCCAAAGAGGAAAACTCTGCATCCTGGCCTACTCTCAACAGGTAGACCTTCAGCTTAAATCTTCTTTCACAAGTTTTCATTGACCCAAATCTATCTGCTTTGACGAGTCCAGCTGAGAGCACAGAGCCTTATAGTATACCTACAGTATGATCTGTAGGGGTGTAATGGTACAGCTAACTTCTGGTACAGCAAGGAAAAAGAAACTAATGCTAATACCTCTTTACAGAAAACTGTCCAAAGCAGCGATAATTAAACCCACCCTTTTTCCACGCGAGGCTTGATGCTACTTTTAGTATATTTGCACGTAACATGAAACTATTTCTGCTGTAATGTGAATATCATCTTAGCATCACATGTTCACTCTTTCAAATATCAACAATTGCTTTTTCTTAAAACTAATAAAACATTAAAACAAACCGTACCTTGTTCCCATTCTAACAGAGCACTTGTTAGTCTGTAAAGCCTGTCCTCAGTGTTAAAAGTTCCCTCATCTGTTTGCAGTAATTAGACTACAAACACCTACATGAATGCACGTAACATTTGATACAGTTGATCACAATATTTTACTACAGAGGCTTGAATATGATATTGGGATTACCGAAACAGCTCTAAAATAGTTTAAATCAAATCTATCTGATAGATTCCAGTTTGTAAATGTAAATAATAAATATTCTTCATACACCAACGTTAGTCATAGAGTTCCTCAGGGCTCAGTGCTTGGGCCAATACTCTTTACTTTATATATGCTTCCATTAGGTAAAGTTATTAAACAGCATGGGATACATTTTCATTGTTATGCTGATGACACACAGTTGTATTTGTCCATTAAACCCAATGAATCCAATCAGTTACTTAGACTACAAGCATGTCTTAATGACATAAAAATCTGGATGACCCTTAATTTTCTCCTTTTGAACACAGCCAAGACTGAGGCTTTTGGTTTTTGGACCTGAGCACCTTAGGAATGATTTTTTAGTCTTTTGCCCTCCTTAGATGGCATTAATCTGTCCTCCAGCTCTAATGTTAAAAATCTTGGTGTTATTTTTGATCAGGACATGTCTTTTATCCCCCACATTAAAAACGTTACTAGAACTGCCTTCTTCCACCTGCATAATATCACTAAAATTAGAAACGTCTTTTCTAAAAATGATGCAGAAAAACTGGTTCATGCATTTGTCACGTCTAGACTGGACTATTGCAATGGTTTATTATCTGTGTGTCCAAATACTTCTTTAAAAAGTCTTCAGTTGATCCAAAATGCTGCTGCCAGAGTCTTAACTGGAGTTAGTAGGAGAGATCATATCACTCCAGTTTTAGTTTCTCTCCATTGGCTCCCTGTCAAATTCAGAATAGAATTCAAAATCTTACTTCTAACCTACAAAGCCCTCAACAACCTAGCTCCATCTTATATTACAGATCTTATTGTTCCATATTTTCCCAACAGAGCACTTCACTCTCAGGCTGCAGGTTTACTTGTGGTTTCTAGAATTTACAAAAACAGAATGGGAGGCAGATCTTTCAGTTATCAGGCTCCTCTCTTGTGGAACCAACTTCCAATCTCTGTCCATGAGGCTGACACTAGGGGTTGAACGAGTATATAATTTTTCAACTCGACATTAACATAATAAAACCCGAGTAGAACTCGAGTATTTGATGACGTCATAGATCTCAAGATACAAAAATAAATAAATAAATAAAACCGCAAAAAAGGTAATTATTTACAAAAAAAAAAAACCCAAAAAAACATTGGGAGTGTATATTATGCTCCTACCATTTATCATACTGCAAATAAGTCACAGGAAAAACTAAACTATTAGTTATTATTATTAAACTGCAAACGTGAAGAAACGTACAGCACGTCAAAAACGAAACTTAAACCGAAACTGGTTCTGGTGGATTGGACCCGGTGTTACACCATACTCTGTGACCTGCAACAGTGCAACACCGCCCCCTACAGTCATACGGTGGTCACATAATATGACGTCACTACGGATACTCGACGTAACATTTTTAACCTCGATAGATGTCCTAACAATCGATGTGTAGATTACTCGAGTACTCTGTTAATGCCTTAGCTGACACATTATCCAGTTTTAAAACTGGGCTTAAGACTTTCCTTTTTGCTAAATCCAATAGATAAGATCGGCTTGGGTTTCCTTAGCTGTCCCTTAGTTATGCTGCTATAGACTGCTGGAGGACAAACTGACCACACTTTTTTCTCTGCTACTGTCTTTACTTACTCTGCTCAACCTGATTTGTATTTGTAATTATTTTTTCTATCCTTAATGTGTTTTTTTTTGTCTTTCAGATACACCTGGACCTATACCTGGACCTACCATTCTATGTTTGTCTGTCTCTCCTTCCTGTCCTCTCAAACCAGCCGGTCAAAGCAGATGGCCGCTTGTCCTGAGTCTGGTTCTGCTGGAGGTTTCTTCCTTTTAAAAGGGAGTTTTTCCTTTCCACTGTTGCCACTGTGCTTGCTCAGGATGGGAGACTGCATCGAAGCCAAGATTCAACTTGTCTGCTGGATTCCTTAGAGAACTTTACTAATTGGCTTTTATGTATGTGAATGTTCCTGTAAAGTGCCCTGAGACAACTTTGTTGTGATTTGGCGCTATATAAATAAACTGAATTGAATTGTAACTTCACAGGAAGTGCACAGAAAATAAAAGCCCAGTAATACAAACAAGAAATAATAAATTAAATTAGACTGATGCATTTTGGGATCATTTACATTGTGATTCGTGGCATCCCAGAGTTATTTTTCTTCACACAGCTGATTTGAATTAAAACAGGCAGGTGTTTACTTCTGCATTTTACTCTGAACTAGTCGCTTTGTTTGGTGTGGAGTGTTTGGATAGGATTTTTCTTTGCTTCTTTTCTGTCGGGGCCGTTTACAAGATGCAGTTAAATGAAACGTGCACCCACTCTGCAGTAGCCACATGTGACTGATGTATTCACTGTACCCATCCAAAACATCCGTACCAAACCGTCACATCGTACTGTTACACCCCTAACAATCACAGATTATTAGCATCACTGTTAAACTTGTGTGCCCAGCAGTCTGATTATATTTGTGTTAACTCTCTTACTCCTTCCCTTTCTGCAGGCAGACATTCCTGGTGTTTTACAAAGTGATGATGGCAGAGTTGGAGAAAGCTGCCAGAAAGATTCCTGCTGGCAACATGAGTGACAGCTCTGAGGTCAGACGCTCAATGTAACTGTCCATTATCCTGTATGACGTTTTTGCAAGCGATTTAATAACTAAGGCTTCAAAACTTATCAATTTTAGACTCAAAGTGAGAAACTGCTGACATGGAACTTGGCTGTCAGAGACTTTCACATCTTGGTCAACCTGGTGAAGGTACACCCTCTTTTTGTCTTGGTCACAAATCTTAAATGTGTATCGACTCAAAGCTAACTTTAGGATTTATATAACTTTTAGATTAAAATATAAATTATCATTCTAACTGAAATCTAATTCTTCTCATCATTTACCAGTAATTATATTGAAAAATGTCCTGATGCATGCTCAATACTCCAGGTAGATGATTCTAACAAGGTTGAATCAGGTCCACTGGACAGATTCTTCTTTGTTGAAACGTTTCGTCTTTTATCCAAAAGACTTCTTCAGACTTCAGTTCTTCAGGACGAAACATTTCAACAGAGAAGAATTCATCCAGAGGACCTGACTCAACAACCTTGTTAGATATATTGAAAATATACGTTCTTATCATCTGTCTGCATTTGGATATTATTATTTTTTATCTTGCAGGTGTTTGATTCCAGGCCAGTACTTAACGTGTGTTTAAAGGTGAGCCCGATCCAAGAATTTTTTTTCAGCTCTATGTTTTTTTTTTTTTTTTGACTGTGTTAACAAATGAAAATATGATTGTTGTTATCAGTATGGACGACTTTTTCTGGAGTCATTCCTGAAGTTGGGGATGCCGCTACTAGACTACAGTTTCAAAAGGCACAAGGTAGATAAGAAGAATATTCTGCAATGGTCCATGTTATGTTCAGCATGTTTTGTTTGCAGAACCTAAAGAAAAGAAATCTGAAAACAGTCTCATGTGAAAAAGTATCTAAAAACAGCAGTGCTTACATTCGATTTATCCCAGGAGGTCATGGGTTGGCACTAAAGCACAGCAGAACAGAGAATAACATTGACTTATTGTTTGAAGCTGTTCTTCATGAAACTTGGTGAAACATTTGACTGTGTGGAATAAACTGTCTTGTTTTAAGGAGGATGTCCAGAGTTTGCTGAAAACCTTCCAGCTCAGCACTCGGCAGCTACACCACATGTGCGGCCACTCCAAGGTAGTGACAGATTTATATTTTGGTTTTTATGCCCTAATATGTGCTCATCAAGAAGCAAAAATCAAACAAAACATTCACATTGACTCAGAAAAATAATCTGAGCAGCAGGTCTACATCCACAAGTAACATTGTAATAATGTGTTGGTTTTTTAGATTCATCAGGATACCAGCTTGACCAACCATGTGCCGGCTTTGAAGAAGAGCCTGGAGCTGTTTGTGTACAGAGTGAAGGCCATGCTCATGCTCAACAACTGCCAGGAGGCCTTTTGGATGGGAAACCTGAAGAATCGGAACCTGAAGGTATCACACAGTTGAATTATTGTTTTTTTAATCTATCCACTCATTTTGAATAATGAATTTCAAATCGTACGCTGTCTTGAAGGGTGAAGAGATTCTTTCTCAGAGGTCACAAGGAAGTGACGATGATGAGGACGATGACGAAGAGGAGGAGAACCAGAGGTTACCACCACAGCAGGAAGAGTCAGAGGATGAGGTACTTGTTCAAAAACATGCTTAACTAAAACATGAATTGCTTTATTGTACTCTTGAGGCGAAAAGTACAAACTACACGACATGAGAAAATCAAAAGGAAATGTAATAAAACGCATTAATAAAACACATAAGATGACATTTTAGACAATACAGCAGTTCAGCAAAGCACAAAGACAGCATCCCATTAAACGCCATCAAAACAAACTAATACATTATCAAGATATTAAAAAAAAACAGTTTCACAAATATGTATCTTTTAGTTTTAAAAGTCTGTTTTACACCTCATGTATTATTTGTTTTCATATATTTTATGTGGATATACATTTAAAGCACCGTAATTTCCAGACTATAGAGCGTACCTGAATATAAGCCGCACACACACACAAAAGAAACCCAATCAATACATTTTGTACATATATAAACCATGCTTGTGTACAAGCCGTGAGTGTTCACGTTGTAACGAGTGACAGCACACAGCTACTGAGAGAGATGAGCAACTCTTGTTGTAGATCAAGAATCAACCACTAGATGGCGTGTTGTTGTTTTTTTCATTCAATGATGAATGTCATGCTCAACCTTTATTTATACAGGTTAGTTTCATTGAGCCACAAAGACTCATTTACAAGAGAGACCTGTTATAGACAAAGAACACATATGAGTTAAAGGCAACAACTGACAATCATATAAAAGCATATAAAATGAAAAGTAAATAGAAGAAATTGTATTTAAAAAATAAACAAAAGTAGCTACATTATAAAGGGATGTAAAATGCTTAAACAGGAACATGTCTGCGTTGGTTTTATTAGACTTTATTTTACTGTTCAACACACAGACATAGTGAACCCCACAGATGTTGACAACTACCTCCCTCACTCATGGTTTCTGTATTGAAAAGCCTAACTAACAAAAACTAACGCATAATGGACACATAAAATACGCTAACAAGAACAGACAAATCACTAAAAGAACAATGCTAAACAGCTAACTAAAATGATTAACAATGAATGTAAATTTTACCCATAATCCCTCCTTGAGCCCATGTGACTGACAGTCAACCACAATGAACTGCAGAATGCTACAATACGTACCGGTAACATACACAAATATGTACAGTAAATTATTATTATTATTTTTCCTGAACAGTGCCTGTAACACAGCTGGTTTAAAAAAAAAAATAGTACACTAGCCTTCTTAGGAAGTCCTTGATCACTATCTTCAAGCTGCTCTCCTGCTCCGTGGGAAAAAAGTTGCTCTGTGAGCATGTGAGACTCACATGCTCTGCACATGCAGAATCCCTCTCCCGTTCTCTCCTCCCCTCCTCGTTTCATTGGTTCGACTGTGACCTGTTCAGTAATTCATTGGTCAGATTTTTATTTTATTTTTAACCTTTGTTTATACAAGTAGTCTCATTGAGTCACAAGGACCCACCCCACAAGAGAGACGTGTATTGTACAGCAATGTGAGCGCCCAAGTGTGACAAAGTTAAATGTGTTTGTCGGCAGGAAGCTCAGTAGCCCGTCAATGTTTTTCTAATAAATTAGTTGCAGCATTGTATAAGCCGCGGGGTTCAAAGACTGAAAAAGTAGCGGCTTATAGACCGGAAAGTATGGTAGTTATAATAAAGATTTATCCTGTTGAAAATGAAAGTCTGATTAAAAATAGTCTTTTTGCAGAGATTTTTAAATAAAACATTTGCTCACACTAATCACTTTTTTATTGGGATGATTTGCTTTTAAAACGTCTAGCTTGGAAAAAATAAGGATATATATATATATATATATATATATATATATATATATATATATATATATGTATATATATATATTAAACATAGGCAATAGTCATAGAGTCAGCTGTCTAAATGAGGCAGAAAGAAGCCTTCCATACAGTGAACTTTTAAACATTCATGGTGTAAAGCAGCTGAAACTGTAGAGGGCAGCGTTTTTAAATAATGTCTAGTTTTTTGGAAATTAATGATTCTGCTCAGTTATCAGAACAACTGTGATGTGGAGTAAATTCCAAAAACACAAGTTCTGTCACTTTAAGTTGGTGTAAAATTATAGACAGGATTTTTTTTATCAAATGTCTTTGTGGTTTCCTGCAGGACCAAGAGAGTGACTGAGGAAATTCCCAAAAAGAAACAAAACCAAGATGTGGATCAAGATGAAAACACGGATGACTGAGTAATCCCGAGAACTGTTTGATTTCTAGTTTCCCGACCTTTACTAAAAGCTCATTTAAAGTTCACACATTTAGGTTTTTGTGCAGTTTAAGGGACTTTAATGGCACTTTCTATAGTGATAAAATAGCACAACTGTAAACATATTTTATTGTAATTTGTGCACCTTTCATGAATGTGGCTATAACATTTTAAGAAAAACATATGTAGAAAAATGAATGCAATTTATACATGTAACTGGTAAAATGTGCCTAATGGTTGTGTATTGATATGAATGTTTGATGAGAATAAATTGTTATTTCATGCTTAACACAAAATTAGAATCCTACATAAAATATATTCTTATCGGTTGAACAAGGTAACACAGATTTCAACTGACTGATTAAAACCCTCTGTAAAATTTAGGACCTTACATTTTTCACTTTTTGCACAGCAGCCATTGAGTGGCTTTTATTTCACAGTCTGTTATATAGATGAATTTGTCATGTCAATGAGATTTTCCTTGGTAAGGAAAATACTTAAAGAAGTTATGGAGGCAAATTACCAGTAGTTGTTTAGCTTCTATAAGCATGAATGTGATTTTCCAAACCTAAAATCAACATTTCTAATCAACTGTGTTAAAATATTAAATCAGTCAGAGGTTGTCAACAAATTACTCAGCACTGATGTACCTTTTTTAAATAGCAATCAATACAGCTTTAAAACTTAAAGCAGGGATATAACCTGGTAAAAGTGTTAACTTACATTTAAAAAAAATCCTTAAGTGGCACTCAAAACTAGAGATCAGATCCTTCACGTTCTGCTTACCTTATTAAAACACATTTCACCCATGATCATATGGTTTAAAGCATGATGTCAACTATTGAACAAACCACTAATGTATGATATAAACTGTCACATATCCCTTAATAAAAATATACAAAATGAGGAAATCAATAATAGAGCACAGAACGCTTGTCATGACCCTGTTTTTCACATTTGATCTTATGAACACCTGGACGAAACCATGTTAAAATATCGATGGGGGAAGACATTCAACGAAAATACGTAGCACGCTCTGTTTTCGATTCTTATCATTTTAAATAGGCACTGTTAATTTATTGTTTGAAATAGCTCTAACATACAGTATTATATCGCAATAATTAAAACAAAACTGTAGTTTTTTAATCGGTACAGCTACGCATCTACCCCTCGCGTGTGAGACAAATGGTTTGTCCGGGAAGCGTGTTCCACTGTTTGGGGAAATACCACAAACTAACTGACTCGAGTGCTTTGGGTTTTTTATTTTATTTCGGTTATTTGAAACGTAAACGCAGTTTTTAAACTGCAGTTTCTTTTAATATTACGTTTTTTGTGTCGTGTGGAGTACCAGGGCACCGGTTTCAGCGCGTGTCGCTATTAGCTTTAACAGAAACTACAGATTTGCTGTTAACTGCAGTAGCGCGAGCGAGATGTCCGATTTGATCTTACTGCTCCTGATAATTGTGCTTCTGGTGTGTCTGGTGGTGACAGTCGGGGCGCTGCTGGTGTACTCGGGTCTTCTGTCAGATGTTGTTATTAAAACCGGACCCCCTCCTATCAGAAATGTCACCATAGCCTATAAGTTTAAGGAGGGCTCGTACAAAGACTGCGGGGCCGCCTACACGGAGAGCTGCAGCGTCGGGCCGAAGCTCCACTCCATCGGTGTTTTCTACGACGACCCCAAACAGGTGAGACCCGCTGACCTGACCTCATGATGACCTCTGTGTTCTGAGAACATGGGAGGTAATGTGGCTTGTTTGAGCTCGACATAAGCCAGGTGTGACCTTTAAAACAGGTGGAGGAGAACATGCTGCACCTGTTGGACAATTTGTCATCATTTGTTCATTGTTGACAACAGTCCTGACTTGAATCTGAGGGAAGAAATTGTGTTAAAACCTTCTAAGAGTCAGAGTGAACATTTTGTCAGTTCAGGTGTATTTTACAGCAGTTTTGTCATATAAATTGCAAGTTTTATGAACTTTTAGTATGCTAATCTTGTTATTCTGTTTAATGGCTTTAAGATTGCTGTGATTAAACCTTTAAGAAACATAATCTTAACTCAGGAATCCTAGCCAATATCTCTGTTGAACCATGTATCCCTACAACTATAAGGCAGTGATGAGTTCATGAGCTTCTTTATAAATAAAATTATTTCAATTAGGGGGGGGGGGGAATTAAAACCAACCATCCTAGTATCGCCTCTGGTTCTGTGTCAGATGAGACAACTTTAAAAATGTCACTAGAACCTGATTTATGTTTGGACTGTTTTTGTCCTGTTGAGCTCTCTGAATTGTTAAAAATAATAGCTTCATCCAAACCATCCACATGTCTGCTAGACCCCATCCCAACCAGGCTATTTAAAGACATATTTCCCTTAATTAATAACCACGTCTTGGATCTGCTTAATTTGTCTCTAATGGATGGTCGATTACATACCACAGAGCTTTAAGGTTGCTGTAATTACACCTTTACTTAAGAAACATAACCTTGACTCAGGAATCCTAGACAATTATAGACCTATATCTAATCTAACTTTCATCTAAAAAATTCTAGAGAAAATAGTTGCAGGTCCGTTACGTGATCATCTGCAAAGAAATAATCTGCTTGAAGAGTTTCAGTCAGGTTTTAGAGCTCACCACAGCACTGAATCTGCACTGGTGAAAGTGACTAATGATATTCTCATGGCCTCTGACAACGGACAGGTGTCTACACGGGTCCTGTTAGACCTCAGTGCTGCATTTGATACAGCTGAACATAATATTATATTACAGACACTTGAATATGATATTGGAACTACAGGAACGGCTATAAGTTTGTTTAAATCATATTTATCTGATATATTCCATTTTGTAAATGTAAATAATGAATCTTCATACACAGTAGTTAGTTATGGAGTTCCTCAAGGTTCAGTGCTTGGACCAATACTCTTTACCTTGTATATGCTTCCATTAGGTAATGTTATTAAACAGCATGGGATACATTTTTATTGTTATGCTGATGATACACAGTTATATTTGTCCATGAAACCCAATGAATCCAATCAGTTACTTAGACTAAGTAAGCAGCCGGTCGAAGCAGATGGCTGCTTGTCCTGAGCTTGGTTCTACTGAAGGTTTCTTCCTCTTGACGTAGTTTTTCCTTTCCACTGTGACCTTTATGCTTGCTAATGGATTTAAAAATAAAAACATTACTTAGGAGGAGATTTAAATTAGATATGAGTAAACCCCTTGCTTCGAACTTTTACATAGAAATAAAACTATTTTTGTAAGTGAAGTTTTCTGTCTCAGAATGAAGAGGAAAACTAATTTTAAAATGAAGGACCTAGCCTTCTATAAAGGAATGCGTATCGCCTACCACCTTTTATACCTTTCCACCTTTTAATGGTGGATTTGTAGCTGTTCTGGTCAAACCTTGTACACAATGTTACGTGCAAGATTTGTTAGCTCTCATGAGTATGTGTTAAGGGGTACTCTGTTAATGCCATAAAAAAAATTCAGTCTGTGTAAAATTGACTGCATTATAGCTGTTTTTGTTTTGACTAATTTTGTTTAACGATGGTGGCCATCTTACATTAGGTTGACTTTAAACGTTAATCAGTTGTAGATGTATATCTGTTAACTTCTTCCTGAGAGGTTCATTAAAATCTGTCTAGTGGTTCTAGTGGTTCATGAGATATTTTGCTAACAGACAAACTGGGCTGACGCCAACAGTTAATGCCAAAGTTTTAAGCAGGCGTTGCACAATGTGTAGCCCTTAGCGTGTGAGTTGTGAATGACTCTCAGCAACTATAACAGCTAATTTTAAGATGAATATCTGTAAAATTAGCTGAGTTATAGCCTTTTATGTGTTTCCAAAGGTCATTTGGCTGTGGCAGCCATCTTTAATTGTGTTGACTTGAAAAGTTAATCAGTTGTAGATGTACATCCATTGTTTACTCTTTAAGAGTTTCAGTAAAATCCTTAGAGTGGTTTGTAAGATATTTTGCTAACAGACAGTATTAAGTCCAATAGTCAATGGCAAAGTTTTCAAAACAGATACCATACAATCAGGTGGTGCTTAAAGACTAAGTTGGGAAAACCACTTAAGAAAAATTGATGGAGTTATTGCAGTGTTTGTGCTTTTAAGGTCACTTACTGGTAGCTTTGGCAGCCATCTTGAATGGGTTTTGCTCCAAAAGTTAATCTGTTGTAGATGTACATTCAGTGACTACTTCTGGATAGTTGTAATAAAATTCCTCCAGTGGTTCATGAGTTATTTTGCTAACAGAAAACGGAAGTTTACGCAAACAGTTAACAAAGTTTTAAGCAAAGCTGCTGCATATTTTGTAGCATGTGGAGTATGTATTGTGGATGACTCTCAGTTACTACCATCCAGTAACTTTCTGAATGATGCAATACAATTTGTGCAGTGCTTCATGAGATATTTTGCTAATATGGCAGACCAACAAACACACAAACATGATGAGCATTGTAGCCTCTCGCCTTCAGTGGTGGGTGATAATAATAAAACTGAGAAGGTAAAAACAAAAAGTCATCTTTAGAAAACTTCACTTACAGTTAAATTAAAAATGTCCTTCTTTTTTAACGGGGTTAAATATCCAACCAGTTTATTATCATTCTATATAAATGTCCACTTGACCTTTTCATGTATAACAAACTAAAATCAGCGCATACGGTAAAACATGGCAACCTCAGCGTGTTTTCTGTGTATGTGGCTCAGGGCGCTGTCTTTTAATGGAAGTGAGACTGAATGATGAAATCAGCCGTTCAGTTGCCACGTTGCCACTGTTTCACTTCTTTCCACCCCTCCTCCGTGGCTCCAGGCATCTTTAGCTTTTCCCCGCTTCTGCCTCAAAAATAGTCTCTAGTCCCCAGACAAAGAAAAGCACATGCAACCTCACATTTGTCTGAGAAAAGCTGACCCGTCTTGAAAGGTTCTGCTTTCTGCTGTACTAAAAATAATTGCAACTTAAAAGTCGCAACCCAGGCGTTCAAAACAACCGATTTTTATGTCTCGCAGTGTAACCAAATTCGATCTGTCCTTAGCTGAGATCTGTTGTTATTTTTTGCTTTTCTCATCGTCCATCAGGAGTTGTTTCAGTGTGCACAACAGCTGCTAGTCGGACGAAAAGGTTCGAGCCCACAGCTGACAGGGGACAAGCGCCCAAACAAAACATTAAAGTTTGAAGCAGCTGATTAGTTCTGCCACTTCACCGTAGGTTGTTCCAAAATCTAAAAGCCAAAATAACTACAGAGGGTTTTTCTCATTTTGATTATCATACATCATCTCAGTTCTGCTGATATTTGAGCGCAGTTTCTAAGAGTTCAGAGTCTGACCGACTGCGAGTTTTCCAGGCGGTCAGTGTGTTTGGTGGACAGTGGCAGATGGACCAGACTCAAAGTGTTAATTCATGCTCAGTTTCTGAGCCAAATCATAGTTTTATAATCTTCAAAGGCTCTGCCACGTTGGCAGGACTGTGTTTGTTTTTCTGCTTACACCCACCAGTTTCTGTCTTTTTTTTTTAAGTCAAGGATTTAATAGAAGCCCTGACTGCGAGTCATTTCAGCGGAAAGTTGTGGTAAATGATCTCTTTGAGGAGCTTTGAAAACTTTCCTGCTGCTGCTGCTGGAGAGCTGGCATCCCAAGGATCAAAACGACAGCGCGCTTTTGATGCCTCCGATATATAAGCTGGGAGTTTTCTTGTGAAAATCAACAGCAAGCCTCCGCTTGGAGCCAATAAAACAGATCAGCTGACTCCATAAAGTTTAGGCCCTCAAACAAATGCTCAATCATGTTTTGATTGAAAAGTTGTTCTTTTTAAATGCAATGAAAAATGATAAATCTCATTTTTTTGCACAGAATAATAGGTTTTTAAGCGAATGCTGGCACTGGTTATAACATAAAAGATCTCAAACCTCTTCTGTTTGCTGTTCTTGTTTATTTTGTGACATTTGAGTCGGCCACCGCCAACCAGAAAAGCAAACTCGAACTGCAAGAGATGCACAGTTGAACTTTGGGCTGAGATGAAATTTCTACTTCACAGTAATTCTTGGTTTTATGTTACTCAACTCTAAACTGTAATACGATAATCCCACCCGAGAGATTGAAATGGTTAATTGAATTAACTCTCTTTTTGTTTGCTACCTTTGGATGAGCTGCACTGTTGACTTAAAGGGATCGTTCAGGTCTATGGAAAGGCCGTTACCGGTACCTATTAATGTTTTACCTGTTAGCGCCTTTCCCAATTACTGTGACATGACATATACTTTCTTCATAATCTTTACACTGGAAACTTTCTCAAAATATCTGAATAATCCATATTTGAAATCTCGTTTTGGTCTAATCAACAGTCGGAAATATTTTCCACTTAACTCTGCTTTTCTTTCATAAATCGTGTTAATGGATGGTGCAGTCAGCACTTTTTACTTTTTCAGTTAAAAGTAACATTTAAAATTATATTTATAGATGGATTTTAGAATTTATATTTTTGAAACAGTTTATTGTTAATCTGAGTTGATGTGATATTGGACAGTAAGAACATTTAAACACTTCTCTGGATGAGGTCAAGGATCGCAGCCAGAATCTTAGTTTGAAAATATTTTTACCTTAATTGGAGTACTAATGACGAAATACAACGTTTGCATTTTTTGTAATCAGTTTTTCTCCCACACCAAACTGTTGCAACAAT